ATTTTCATCTTGAAATGCTTCCGAAAATAGCAAGAGACCAAAGTGATAGAAACAGAACTTCTCCATTTGCATTTATTGGAAATAGATTCGAGTTTAGAGCTGTTGGTTCTGAACAAAATGCAGCTTGGCCTATTACTGTATTAAACACGGTTGTTGCAGAATCTATTGAACAAATGGTAAATCAAATTGAAAAAAAGATTCATGATGGAAAAAGTGAAAAGAATGCAGTTGATGAAGTTATCAAAGAAACAATACTTCTTCACAAAAAAATTGTTTATAATGAAGATTGTTATGACAATAAATATAGAAAAACAATGGAAATTAATGGAATTAAAGAAATAAAAACTATGGACATGGCATTAGATGCATTATCTAGAAGTAAAGAAATGTTTAAAAACACTACTGTACTAAGTGAAGAAGAGGTTAATGCAAGAGTCAGTATATTAGGAGAGGCATATGTAACAACATCATTAATTGATATCAACCAATTATTAGACATGGTTGAACGTGAAATTATTCCTATTGTTATGGATGTATTAGCTAAAGAAAAAAAACAGACTCAAATTATTGGTTTATCAATTATTAATAAGAGAGTTGAAAATATGTTGGAATGGTTTAATAAAATGATATCTTCTATTGAACTACTTAAAGAAAAAAGAGATAAAATCATAAACTCATCTTGTGTCATCGAGGCAAATGAAGCAATGAATATTATTAATGAAGTACGTGTTTATATTGATAAACTTGAAGGTCTAATTCCACAGAAAGAATGGCCTTATCCATCATATGAAACTTTATGGAATACTCATTGTTAAATTATTCTCAACAACAATCAATTATTGTTTAATTTTTTAGTAATTAAAAATCAATTTCAATTTCTCCTTCATTATGTGGTTGAGTTGTTTCACTTATTTTATTATTGGTGTGAGACGTTTCATCTTCATCATCAAAAGAAATTTCATTAACGTCATCTTCATCATCAAAAGAAATTTCATTAACGTCATCTTCATCATCAAAAGAAATTTCATTAACGTCATCTTCGTCAGATAAAACAATTTCCCCATTATTTTCATTACATAACACTTCAAGGTCATCATTAGTATCAACATTGATAGTCTTAAATGATTCAACATGAGTTTTACCTTCCACCACAGCAGTATCTCTTAAGTATAAACTCTTTACATTAATAATATCTCTTTTTAGTAATCCAAGTAATTGAGTGGTTTTATTAAGTAACTCTTCATTTCCAATGATTTGTGCTGCCTTTATTACTTCTTCACAAACTTGTTCCATTCTTAACACACATCTGACAATTAACCCTTCAGTAGTGGCTGAAGAATCAATAACTTCATTAAATGGTTTTCTTAATGCCCATAAAGCAACTCCTTCCATTAGACCAAAATTTAATTTAACATATTTTTCAATATTATACTCCAGATTTAAAGAGTCTTCATAATCAACAATTTCCATTGCGTATTGGTCAACAAGACTCATTAATGATTTTGTTTGATAACTAAAGTGATCAATTAATTCTTCTTGTGATTCATTGCTTGGCTCAAATACAAATACACTGAAAATAGCTGCCATTTCATGAATTTCTAATCGGTTTAATACTCCATCAAACATCATATTAGTTAAAATCATTCCATCTGAGCTAACCATTTCCTTTGCCACTTTTCCTTTTAATGTTAATAAATTATGCTCATCAACAAAATTAAAATGTTTAAGTACTTCCAATCTTAAATTTAGTTCTCTGTCAACTCGTTCTTTATTCATTTTGTATTTCCCTGTAATTTCATCAATCATTTTTTCAAGTTGTCTTTGTGCCTTATCTTCTTTTTCCCCATATTTATAAGCAACACATGAATATGCTGGCATTGCTTTCATTATTTTTATATTTTCATTGTACTGTTGTATAAGAGAACTATACTCTTTTGGTCTTTTTTTTTCACTTTGGTATGGTTGGAAAAATGGTTCTTTTCCTCTATTTTTTTTAAATCCTACTAACCTATCATATAAAGCTTGCCTTTGGTTGTTTTCTATTTCAAGAATTGCTTCTGAATAATTGTTGCCTCCTTTTGCTTTAAACTGTTTCTGATAAATAGCAATCATATCACTAAATAAAATAAATTCATTTATCCCTTTCTTTTCATCAAAATAATAGACCATTGATCCATTGTCTAATGGTTCAATAATAACTCCAAAATATCTTTTCTCATTTCCTGCTCTAAATTTTATAACTCTTCCATTAATATTAAAATTATTGCCTCCTTTAAATTTTGCTTCAATTATTTCTCTAGTTATTTCTTTTTTAATGTCTTTAACTTCTTTTTTAATAAGGTTTAATGCGTCATGATCACATTCAGGATTTTCACAAATAGTAGTAGTGTGTTGAAGTAATTTTCTAGCTTCTTCAGCTAAATTATTTCGTTGAGCCATCTCAAATAAATCAATTTTTGAATATGATTTCATCATTTGTTGTGTAAGACTATCTCCTCCAAAACATACCCAATTTAACATCATCCAATATGTAATATAAAATTGACTAATCATCTTTGCTGGTGCTCCACATGATATTTCTTGCATTTGTTTTGGAGATGGTAATACTTGATTAGGAAAGATAATAACATTTCCTGCTGCATCTTTACCTCTTCTACCTGCTCTTCCTGCCATTTGTGTATATTCTCCTGGTAATAAAAATCTATTTTCTTTTCCATCAAACTTTTCAACAGAAGGAAAAATTACAGATTTAGCAGGCATATTTACTCCCATTGCAAAAGTTTCAGTAGCAAATAATACTTTAATATCTCCTTGGGAAAATAGTACTTCTACAATTTCTTTTAAGAATGGAATTAATCCAGCGTGATGTACTCCAATTCCTCTCATTAATAATGTTTTTACTTCACTTATTTGAGGTAAATTTTTCTCAGTTTCTACAAGTCCTTCAGTCATTTCTTTAAATAAGCTATTAATCTTATATGGATTAGTATCGAATTTAGTTGCTTTTGCTAATTTCTTAGCATAGTCCATAACTAATTTACGACTAAAAATAAAGAAGACAGCTGGAAGTTTTGTGTCATGTTCTAAATAATTAATTAATTCTTCTATTGAATTAACTCCATGTAATTGATCTTTTACTCTTCTATTTTTTGAAAATTTAGGAACAATACGTTGATATGCTTCAGTATAATTATTTAAAAGGAAAGTATTTTCTCCTTTTTTAAATAATATAAGTTTTGATGGAAGTTCTTCTTTTTTTTTACAAAAAACATAATGTTCTAATGGAACTGGTCTATATAACGTTTTTACAAGACACACCCTTTGGTCTTTTGTTCTTCCAATCCATTCAGCAAAATTAATAGCATTTTCTACAGTTGCACTAAGCATTAACATTTTTACATGTTTTGGAAGACTCATAATAACTTCTTCCCAAACTACACCTCTTTCTTCATCATTAACATAATGAACTTCATCAAAAATAACCCAATCTACTTGTTCAATAAATTTAGAGTCTTGATACAATTTAGAACGAAGGATTTCTGTTGTCATAATGGTAACAAGATCATCTTCTCCTTGAATAACAACATCCCCTGTCATAATACCAACTTTACCAAAAATTTTTCTAAAGTCATAATACTTTTGATTTGATAATGCTTTAATTGGTGACGTATAAATTGCTTTCATTCCTTTAGATTTTGCAATAGATATAGCATATTCAGCTGTAGCTGTTTTACCAGCTGAAGTATGTGCAATAACAAAAACATGTTCACCTAATTCCATATGATAAATAGCTTGTTTTTGAAATGTATCAAGTTCAAAATCATATTTTCTTTTCATATCAGGAACTGACTCATTAAAGTTTTTCATATCACTTGTTTCTTCAAATGCATATTTATATTCTCCTTTATTTTGTTGTAACTTTTCTATATACTTTTCTATTTCTGTTTGTTCTTTTCCAGTGATTTGTTCTCCTTTTACAACTTTGTTTTGGAGTGCATTCTTAAGTTTATTTCTTTCTTTAAGAGTTAGACAGATATTTTCAGACATTGAGACTTAATTAATAAAAATAGTTCATTAAAGAGTATGACTAAAAAAAAATTGTTTAAAATATTTATTTATTATAAAATATTTATTTATTATAAAATATTTATAAAATATTATTTTGTTTTAATTTCTTTTTTTTTAATTAAAAAAAAAATTTATATTTTTTGAATCATTTAATTTTTGTTGTAATAAATAACATAATTTATCCAATCCAAAAACGATGAAATGATCTTGAAAACGTTAAATTAACGAAATGGACGAAAATCATGTATTTATTGAACATTATCCTGTTGAATGTTTTGCTTATGACAGTGATGTTAGTAGATGGAGTAATAAAAGATTAGTTAAAGAAATGATGAAAGAAGGGAAACGATCTTTAGCATTTAGATTATTTTCATGTAAAATAACAGGAAAACAAATGATAGAATTAAAAGAAAATGAATGTGATAATCTTAGACTAAATAGTCAATTAAAAGAAGAATTATTTCAATACGTTAAAAAATATCAAAAAATTGCTTCAATAAATATTTTACAAAGGGCTATTAGAAGACATAAAATCCAACCTCAAATAAATGAGTATATTTATAGAGGAACTGTAATAAATGAAATTATTACAACTGAAATTAATTATGTTGATACATTACAATACACAATTGAAAATATTAAAAGACCATTAGAAAATAACAATGAAATTTTAAATTATGAAGAACAAAAAACATTATTTTCAAATATAGAAACTGTTTTTCAAATCAATAAAGTTTTTTGTAGTGATTTAATAAAAGGATGTTGTAGATTTAATAGTAATACAACAATAGGAAATATTTTTTTAACATTCATTCCATTTTTAAAAGTTTACAATGAATATTGTTCTAACTTTAGACATACAATTGATCTTATTAAAACATTAAAATATCCACATAAATTTGCTCCTTTTTATTCTAAAATACAATATAAACAATCTCCTTATTCAAAAAGTTCAATTTCTGATTTATTAATAACTCCTGTTCAAAGACTTCCAAGATATCAATTGTTATTAAAAGATTTATTAAAACATACTCAACAAAGTCATATTGATTATAATAATATTAAAAAAGCTCTTGAAATGATTCAAGAAGTTGCTAATAAAGTTAATGAAACTTCAAAAATTAATGAATTAACTGAAGAAACACAAAAATACTTTTCAAAAACTCTTCATATTCCAGAAGAAATTCAAATGGTTCCACAAGGTAGAATTTTAATAAAAACAATAAAAGTAAATGGTAAAGCAGATAGAAAATATGTTGTAATGATTTTTAATGATTCTATTATTATAATTAAAGAACAACAAGAAGAAGATGAAAAAGAAGAGAGTTATACTTTTAAATTTTTCTCAAAATTTAATGAATTAATTATTAATATTGATGAATTAAAAAAAAGTAAATCAGAAAATTTATTCTCTTTACAATTAAAAAATAAAAAAGATCATATAGTCTTATGTTTCTCTTCTGTTGTTGATCGTTCTCAATTTAAATCTATTCTTCAAAATTCAATTGATAAATTCTTTGAAAATAAATAAGAATTTCTTTATTTCAAATTATTAAATAATTGAATTTACTTCTTTTTTATTTTTTGTTTATTAAATTACATAAAAATTCTTTTTAATGTTATTTAAGAAAAGTGTTCAATTTAAATTTCTAATGCAGAATGAATTTCTTCTTCTACCATTTCTTTACTTGCTGCCATTTCTTTTAATAATCCTTCCATTGTACTTAATCTTTTTATTAATTTCTTTTGTTTTTGAAGATTTGTTTTAGATTGAATTACAGATGGTTTGTTCATTTCTTTATTAAAATTAATATTCTTTTTAATTGATGTTTGTTTTTGTTGTTTATTTTTTTTTTCTTCTTCTTCAATTTTTTTTAATTCTTTTATTGCTGTTTTTTTAATTATTTCTTCTGCATTTTCTTGTTTCTTCTCTAATCCTTTTTTTACTTCTTTCTTAACAACAGTCTTTGGTGCGGTACGTTCAATATTCATTAATTTCATTGTATTCTCTTTTTGTTTTTTATTAGTGTCAATAACAATTCCTGCTTTCTTTTCTAAAATATCTAATACAGCAGCTGTACCATGTTTAATAACTGTCTCTTTACTTAAATGTTTTTTATTAATGTAATTGTTCATTTTATTTGCTTTCTTTGCTGCTTTTTTCATCACTAATGAACTTTGCTTTAATTTATTCATCATTTTCATTAATTTACTTCTATAATCTTCAACATTACCATCCAAATTCTTTCTTTGTTTTTTCATAATATTAATTTTCTTAACTGTTTCAAGTCTTTTTTCTGGTGTCATTAATTCCATCTTCATTTCCATTTGTTCAATTTGATCATCAATCTTACGAGCTAAAATATATGACTCTTTTCCTCTCTTTGAAATTGCTTTTTCAATCTTAACAACCATTTCATCCATTAACTTATTATATACTTCTGCACTTCTTTGTTTTAATGAATTCTTTAAATATGGATTAGTAGAATATTTTTGTTCCATAACTTGAAGTTGTTTTTCAACTTCTTCCATCTTCTTTTTTTGTTTTTCAACTTCATCTGTTTCTTTGTCTTTCATAAGATAATCTCCCATATCATTTCCTTGCATAATCATTCCTTCATGTCTAAATTGGTCAACTTGTGGTTGTGCAACAAACCCATAGTTAAATACTGCTTGTGCTTCATCAGCACCTAAAAGCATTAAATGATTAACATGAAGTCTATTCATCAAATTTAATTGTCTTACTAATCTTCCTTGTTCTACAGGTGCAAGAACTCTTAAAATTTTATACATTTTAGCTAATACCATTCTTTTAGTTCTAGCAATTTTTCTTAATGCTCTCTTTTCTTCTCTAATCTTTTGACGAGCTAATTGTCTGTCTTTTCTCAATCCAATATGAATCATATCTTGGTTATCATTATCAAGTTCAATCATAAGATTTCTTTCTGTCTCTTCTAATGCTTTCATTTTTTCTTCTAATAAACTAATTCCTTTTCCTACTCGTTGTATTCCTTGAGAAACATACCCTGTTGTTTGTCCTTGAGCTGTCACACTAAGTAATAGTATACCAAATATTAATAACATTTATTTTAAAATTATGATTTTCTAGTTCTCATATTTTTTTTTTCTTGATTTTTACTCTTTTTAACTTTTTTGTTTTTAATAAACTTAATATTGTTATAAAAAACGAAATATTTATTTGTCAATTAATTTTTTATAAAAATACTCTTCTTGGTTTTTTTTCTTCACTATACCACTGAATTTGTTATATTCTTCTATTGTGATTGCCTTGTTTTTTTTCATGTTATCAAGTGTAAACATAACTCTTTGTACTAATATCTTTCTTTGTTCTTCTTCAGTTTCTTTGAGATTTGTTATGGCTATATCTCTCATATATTTACAAACACAAATCTTATAAAATTTATTTTTAAACTGTTGTATTGAAATCATATTATTTAACAACTGTGTTTTTAAATTTTCTAATTCTTTCATTCTTTCAGTATAATCTATTGGAATATCTTTTAAATTTTGTATTAATTTTCTTACTGAAGCATATAATGAAGTTGATTCCCAAAGGTTACAGTGTTGTGCTTTTTGATGTGCTCCAATAAATGGGTTGTCTACATCTTTAGTAGAATTGTGAATATAATAACTAACTTTTCCAAAACGAACCACAACATGAATAGAAAGGTGTTCATTAACAAGTATTTGAATTATAAGCTTCTTTTTATGAACAAAATAATATGAACCACTTTGGTGTTTTAAAAGCTTTTTTATTGACTCTAAAAGTTGTTGGTCCATTTGGATTTTATGTTTTGCAATCAATTCGTCAAATTCCATTGTAATTTTTTAAGTTCTTTTTGAATAGTTAAAAGACATTATTTGTATTTTAAAATAAATTATTTATCATTACTTTTATGATTAAAATAAACAAATTATCAATGTTTACAAAAAAGATAAAAGTAGAAATAAATAAGTGATAATAGAATTGTCATTTATTCAATATGTAATGGAGATTATTCAATTCATATATATCATTATTTTGAGTGATTATTTTCTTTTGGCAACGAAAAAAGCAAATAATTGAAAAAGAAGAGAATGAATGATATAAAAGAATAAAAAGAAAGTAAGAAGTTTGATATGATGAAGAAAGAATAAAAGTAGAAAGGAGAGAATATAAAAAGAAAGAAGATAAAGTGTAATAAAAGAAAAGAGATGATAAAAGAAGAAAAGAATGAAAAAAATAAAGGATGCAAATTTTATTGAAACAAACAAAAAAAGTGCAAAATTTAATGATGCAAAAATTAATGATGCAAAATATTTAGCAACATATTTTATTGATGCAAAATATTTTGAAATAAAAATAATTCATCATTTGATATTATTATATTTGATAATAAATTATATTATATATTAAATACATCATATTTCTTTATTATTTATCTTTCTTTTTATTATTTCATATATTAAATTATTATTCATTCATTCATTATTTATATTTCATTTATTAAATAAAATGAAAATGAAATTGTAAAATATCAATCAATTAAATATTCATGAATAATAATTTATTAATATTTAATAATTGAAATAATAAATAATAATGTAACAATAATGATATATTCAATATATTCTTTATTTGATTTGTTCAATATTATCATTTCATTGTCTTCATTATTTCATTATTTCATTTATTATTTCATATTCATTTATTTCATATTCATTTATTATTTTTTAAAATCAAATAAACAATAATATTGATATTCATTCATCATATTCATTTAATATAATAAACATAAACAACATTTCAGAATAAAGAATGAATATTTAACATTGAAAATATTGATTTATTTAATATTTTGTTCAACATAAAATCAATAAAACATATATTTTGATAATATATAAATGAAATATTAAAGAAATATACAATACTCAAGAACTAATAAAAACAAAATAAAAAGAATGAATGAATATAAAATTGATAAATAATAGAAGAAAGAAATAGAAAAACAACGAAAAACAAATAATATAAAAAGAATATAAATATATAAAAGAATAAAAAGAAAGTAGAAGAAGAATATAAAAATAATAAATCACAAAGATGTAATAAAAGAAGAAATAAATTATGTAATTTTAATGTAAAAATTAGAAATATGAAATAAAAGTGTCTAATTTAATGATGTAAAATGATTAACAATATTTTATTGTTGAAAATATTTTACTCTTTTTTATGTTTATTATTTATATGTATAATTTCATTATGATGTTTATTATATAATCAATAATATGTGTTATGTTATTATAACATATAATAAGTGATAACATATAAATGAAAATGATATGAATATATAACATAGATTGAATATAGAAAAACAAAAGAATAATAAGAATAAATGATAAATAAATAGAGAAATAATAGTCAATGATATAATAATAAATTGAAAGTATAAAAGATAAAATTAATATTAATATAAAATGAAAGTAGATATAAAATGAAAATAGATATAAATGATAATAATATAAAAGATGAAAAGATGAATAAACAAATACAACTAAATAGAAAAGAATAACAATAAGAAAATCTAAATAATATAAACATAAAAAACATAAAATAAGAATAATATAATAATATATAGATAATAAGAAGAATACAATGATATAAATAATATAAACAGAGAAATAAATATATAAAAATAAGATACATAAATAACATAATAATCAAAAGAATAAAAATAATAAAAATAAATATGAATAATCAAATCATTCATTTCATTAATATTTCATACAGAATATAAATGAATATAAAATATAAACATAAATATTTATATATTCTGTATTTATCATATTTTTTTATTTTTTTATTTTTTTAGGAGCAAAATATAATAAGTAGAATATTCTAATGATGCAAAATATTTTGCATCTTTTTTCTTTTTTGTAAATTATTTAGATGCATTTTTTCTTTGCTAATTTTCGTACCCTTTTCTTTTTTATTATTTAGTTTTTCTTCTTGTTTTGTGAATAAAAATTATTTTGGTTTATTTATTCTTTTAATCTTCTTCGTTACTGTTTCTTTCAATTTGAAATAAATGTCATTTCTTTATTTCTTATTTTATGTTTAATGAATATTTCTTTATTATTATATTATTATATTATTATTATATAATTTCATTTATATCATTTTCATTTGATATTCTTTCATAATATTCTTACTTCATTCTTTATATTATTAATTAACATATTTCATAATCAAATAAACCATAATAATTCAATGACTGTTTTTTGTATTGACGTTTGTTTATTTCTGATTTACATTCTTCTTTTCTGAAGAAAATAAAAATAAGATATATTATTCTTCATCTTTGAGCAATTTATTGTTTCAACGCTTTTTTTGTGGTTTATTTTTCTTCACATTATATGAATGTTTGAAAGTGTTATTAAGGTCAGTAACAGTAAATGTAGATCCATCTACTGGGTAATGAACAATTATTTCATTTCCAACAATTACAATTTTATCAAATTTATCAGTAACTGCAGCATTACAATCTTCAGTTAGATAAATCTTCTTTGAATATTTATTCATTAAAGAAACAGCTGGTTCAGTTGGATGTTTATAAAGATTACCATGACCACATGAAATTAATGAAACTGTTGGTTTAAGAACTCCTAACCATTCAGCATTATTAGAATGTTCTGATCCATGATGATTAGCCTTATATAAATCTACTTCTCCAACAACATCTTTATATGAAGATTCTACATTATGATAAAGATAACCAAATCTAGAACTATTGTCTTGTCCATCTAAATCACCAGAAGTAGAATAAACAAAATCTCCTAATTGAATTCTTAAAGAAATAGAATAATCATTTTCACTTGGAACGTCATTTTGATCATGATAATCAGCAGCTAATGGCTTTCCATCAGAATTAACTCCAAGAGCATCACTAATTACAATTT